TCGGAGAAAAGCCCTATCCGGGGGGGGGGGGACTTTCGATCAAGGAGAGCAGCTTGGTGGCATCCTCCAGGAGGTGACCCATTACAGAGGCTGCCCTGGCTCTGGGGGCAGGCCACTTCGCCTGCGGCCAGTACTCGACTCACTGCGGGAGGAAGTGCCACCTCAGTCTGGTCAGTCCAGAGGACCATCCCTCAGCTTCCCCCTCCAAGAGCTGAGGCAGCCCTGCTTCTCTTGCTTTGCTCCATAGTCCTTGGAGACAAGCCACATCCAGGTTGGGGGATACCCTGCACTCTGGCATCTGAAGAAGTGTGCGTGCACACAGAAGCTTATCCCGTGAATAGAACTTTGTTTTGCCTGTAAGATAGGTCAGGTAGCTTCAGGACCACCTCTCAGCATGCACCCAATAGCGCATTATATTTGGGTACAAAGAAACTCCTGGTGGTCCCTGGTTTGATCCACCCGTCTTCGACCCGCCTGGTGGAACACTCTGCCAGAGAACGTCTGTGCCCTGCAGGATTTATCACCATTCCGCAGGGCCTGTAAGAGAGAGATGTTCTGCCAGGCTTTTGGCTGAGGGTGACGACGGGACAGCCATTAGACTGGCACTCAGGTTTCCCGCCCCCCCTTACCTGCTCCCTTGGAGGCTTTGGGTAGTTTTCATTTCTATTCAAATTATCCACCACCTTGGATTTTGCTTTTTACTTATGATTCTGTATTGTGTTTTAGTGCTGGTTAAATTTAACTTGGATGGTGTGTTTTTATTCTCTCGTAAGCTGCCCGGAGCCCTGCTTGCAGGGAGGGGCGACCTAAAAGTCTGAACAATAAATCAAGAAATAGGCTGAGTGAGAGAATGACTGGCCCAAGGTTACGCAGTCGGTTCCGTGGCAAGTGGGGATCCGAACCCAGGTCTCCCAAGTCCTAGTCCAGCATTGGTAGCATCCATACAACCGGAGTTGGCAGCATTTCTGCCCAGGTGCAGAGGGCATGCAGATCTGAAAATGGCAGGGGTCGAGGTCTACAGGCTTGCCTGCCTTGGCCACACTGTTCTCCTGCTTCTCCCCCGACTCAGTGGCCCAGGGGTAGGGAAATGAACACTGCCATCTTGTGCCACGTTATTAGACGCCATTATAATTTGATCAGGCAAACATGTATACATATACGTCTTTAAACAGTGTGTACAAATACAGTCAGTTCCCAATGTGGGAGCTTCCTTCTACGGCTCACTTATTTAAATCCCAACGACTTTGTCCAAGAACGCAGCGAATTTTTCTGGCTGTCCAGGTGGGAAAGGCTTCAGGGTCGACAAGTCCATTGATTGCAGAGTCTGGATGAGAGTTCTACAGAAACAGAACAGCAGCAACAAAAAAAATAACATTTGTCTTCTGCACTTCACCCAAGGAACGTGATGGTCTTATCCTGTTTTTATGTTGCCCAATGATTTTAATCAGAGGTCCCAGAATCTAGAACATAAGACCCCGTGGCTTTGAAAGAGCATGGGTCAGAGCCAGATATTAAGGTTGAAACTGAAATACGTAGGAATGCAGTCAATTGTTATATTTACATTGAAAGTCACCCTGAGTTCTGCAAAGTAGCAAGGCAAGTTTAGACGTCTTAATAACTAAGCCCCGGGAAGACAGCTTTTTGACTACCTGGAGCTGCTCTGTCATTTTATTGTAAACTCTCAGCCTTAATTCATCTGCCCGAGTTGGCAAGCGCACAGGAACTGTTTGAAATCAGCCCCCTCCTCAGCTGAGTTCCCCATGCCAAATTCAAGTAGCAACTTCTCGCTTTTAAGAAGAAGAAGAAGAGATTGGTTTTACACCCCACCCTTCACTACCCAAGGGAGTCTCAGAGAGGCTTACAAACTCCTTTCTCTTCCCCTCCCCACAGCAGACACCCTGTGAGGGAGGTGGGGCTGAGAGAGCTCTGACAGAAACTGCTCTTTTTCAAGGACAGCTCTTATCAAAACTACGGCTTGCCCAAGGTCACACCAGCAGGTGCAAGTGGAGGAGTGGGGAATCAAACCCGGTTCTCTCAAATTAGAGTCCGCGCACTTAACCACGACACCAAACTGGCTCTCTGAGAGATGTGGGTTCTTCTTCAGGTTCAGTGTGTAGTTCTCAAACTTCAACACACACCTCTGCGTACACGTGGCTGTTATACCCAATGGTGCTCAAAGGGGACGCGTACCTGCACGTGCAGTAAAAGAGATGTCCGTCCCTGTGCAGCTGCCTTGCCAACTCCAGCTGATGATTGTTCATCAGCTTGTCATTTACAACCACCAGTAAAGGCTTCCCTGCTTCCAATACCTCCAGGCAGCTACCTGCACCTACAGAAACAAAGCAGTGCAGAAGAGTATTATCCAGACAGCTGCATCTCATTTAGCAGCAAACATGCATATTAGTGGCTGTCAAGCCTAAAAGTGCAATGCCAATTACATCTTGTTTCCACCCCCAATGGTGCTCAAAGGGGACGCGTACCTGCACGTGCAGTAAAAGAGATGTCCGTCCCTGTGCAGCTGCCTTGCCAACTCCAGCTGATGATTGTTCATCAGCTTGTCATTTACAACCACCAGTAAAGGCTTCCCTGCTTCCAATACCTCCAGGCAGCTACCTGCACCTACAGAAACAAAGCAGTGTAGAAGAGTATTATCCAGACCACTGCATCTCATTTAGCAGCAAAGCCAAACATGCATATTACTGGCTGTCAAGTCTGAAAGTGCAATGTCAATTACATCTTGTTTCCGTCAAAGGCCCTGTCCTTTAATCTGCTGTCAAAGATCCAGACTCCTGTACCCTCCACACCACAGCTACGCTGTACGGGATTCTCATTATAGGCAGGCCCCCACAAAAGTTTCTCCCATTTTGCTCAGTGGGGGTTACTCCCAGGAAAGCGTGAGGATTTCAGCCTGTCTGTTTTGCCTGAAAGGGCCTTATTAAGAACTGCTCACCACCAGTGTGTTCGCATTCAATACACGGGAGCCAAAAGCAAAGCGTCGGTCAAAATAACCCAACACCAGACTTTTTGCTTTGCATTGGGATGCTAAGGGAATCCACCCCCTCAACGACACGTTCTAGCGGACAAATGGCTGTTGCCAAAAGCAGCAGCTCTGAATTCCCAGCTCCTCTCCACACCTCATAATGTTCAGTCTTCATGAAAAATGTGGAATGTAATGTCCTCATTTTACAAGTCCCCTCCCCAGGGCAGATAAGGAAGTGGGTCCATGGGAATAAAATCTGCAGTGGGTGACAATATATTTTACCTTACAGGGGAACGGGGAGGAGAAAACGAAAGGGTTCCAGTTTTGGCCATGTGTCTGGTTCCAGCATACGGTTATCAGCAGGGCTCTTTTTGTGGAAAAAGCCCAGCAGGAACCCATTAGCATAATAGGCCACACCCAACAGCAGAAACTCATTAGCATATTGGGCCACACCCCTGACAGCACAGCTCATTAGCACATTAGGCCGCACCCCCATGTTACCAGAAGTGTGGTCATCCACACTTTGCTTGTTATTCTGTTTACCTTGTTGTCAAAACCCAGGGCTTTTTTGTAGCAGGCACTCCTTTGCATGTTAGGCCACACACCCCTAATGTAGCCAATCCGAATGAGTTTCTGCTGTTGGGTGTGGCCTATTATGCTAATGAGTTCCTGCTGGGCGTGACCACCTCGGGAGCCAGCTGGAACTCCGTTCCTGTGCGTTCCTGCCCAAAAATAGCCCTGGTTATCAGATAGGACTGAGTGCGTGGCCACACTGAACATACATATTATTTGCTGAATGGCCATTCAACTCACTAGCTCCACAAACTCTGTTTGCAATACAAGATCTTCCTTGCATGCTAGAATACTGGAATGGAATCTGGTAGCAGGCCAAATCCTGCATCCATTTTCAAGGATGAGAGGAAAACATAAATGAGGGATCTATCTTGAAGACTGAGAAATCGCAACCACACTTAAGTCACGATGCTTGCACTGTAAACAGATGTTGTAAATTGAAATTCCAGCTTGAGCCTCTGCACACATTTGGGGCGGGTCAAGGAGAGGTAGAATAAATAGTCATGTAATCTCTCTCATGGAAGTTCATGCTGGAATTAATGGAATTAGCCTATAAAGTGCCCTGGACTTCTGTTTTACTGTGTGTTCTGATGACATCATTCTTTGCATTCTGAACACCAGCATGAGCCATGACCTGCTTTTAATCTAGGGATAAAAGACCCAAATTGTAATGTCACGTTATCCTTAAAGATCAAAATGGAAGATATTGGAATAAATGCTCCCTCTAAGCTGCGGAATCTTGTGAGCAAAAATTCTACTTCGTGAGCTACTGGCATTAAAGTTGTGAACAAGCGATTGGCTACTGCATAAAGTAGTATGCTCTGGAGCCATCCTTCCTGAGCTAAGACAAAAAGGTGTGAGCTGGAGGCTAAAAAAAATGTGAGCTAGCTCACACTAACTCAGTTTAGAGGGAACACTGATTGGAATGTGTGTGTTCTGGATGCAATTTTTTTGTTAATTTCATCACGGAAAACCAGCTTGACTCCTGCAACTGCTTTCAGGAAGGACTAAAAAAATGCACCACCTCCCTGGAGCACAGAAAGATCACAGTGAAATTCTTTAAACACCAGTATAATCCCTGCAACAATCTCCTCTTCATCTACATAGCAAGGTCCCCCAGACTTTATGTTTCATATCAGCCATGATATGTAGTGCCCACCAAAAGTCCAGATAGGACAAAACAAAGTCTCCCTTGCCTTGCCCACTGGGCAAACAGGAGCCTGCTGGTTCAAATGTGAGAAGCGTTACCTGCATGACTTATGACGAGATCTGCTTCCTGAATATCTTTTACCAGCGAGTTCTTGTACCTATACACTTCCTGTGTAAACGCAGGTGTGCTGACCATATCTGGAACCACTGTGCCCCTACCGATCTGAAGGACTAGTCGGCTGTAGCCAAGATCCCGTAAAACCTGTAGAGAGAGAGAGTAATCTGCATTCAAGTTTGTTCTGCCTTCAGTTTAATGCAAAATACACAGAAGCCAATTCATTTGCCCTTGTGGCGGAATGGGCCTGCTCTGGCCTGCAGACCCTGTTCCACCCGGCCTTCCAAGGTTTTTCCAACCCCTGGAGAGACTTTTCTTTCTCAGATAACCCACTGAATTGGAAGGAGATGCCCACTGAGAGGGTCAGGACTCCCAGCTTCCCTTCCAAGTTCTGAGGCCTTGTGTGATGGATGGCACTTTTCAAAAGTGTCGAAGTGCTGAAGGACTGTGAAGGGTGACTACACAGAAGCAGGAGGCCTTGAGCCACAGGCTGATCCAAGAGATTGGCTTGGTTGGCATCAGATGAGCAGAGAAAGTCTTTGAGAGCTGCATGCTGAGGAGAGAGGCAGACAGATTTCTGCCTTGACTGAGTTGAGTACTGTGAGTCTGATTTCAGCCCTATCTAAGAAGAGTCGAGTACTGACAGTTTCAGAATTCAGCCTTAGCTGAGAGCAGTTGAACACAGACAAAAGAATGGGGGGGGGGTTTTTGGCAAGAGTGAGTGGGTAATTAGGCAGAGACCCACATTCGAGCCAAGGAAAGGGGAGAGATCTTCTAGAGAGAGAAGAAAATTCCCTACCCAGTCAAACAGGGCGTTAGCTCTGAAGAGCGTAGAGATTCCTGGTTTGGCTTGGTTAGAGACTGCCTGTTGAGACCTTAAGAGTCAGTGAAAAACTCAAGACGGATACTGGTGTTTCAAGAGAAGAGGTCTGGGAATTCAAAAGAGTGTACCAGCCTCCTGGAAACCAAAAGAGCCATAGAATACTCGTAGAAAGGGTGCTGAAGTGTTTGGGGAAAACAGTGGAACAAAAGCCTCTCAACATCCAAATTTAAGTCTCTGTAAAAAGCTTAAGAAACTCTCATTAGCCTGAAACCTAAGAACTCAAGTCTATGCATGTACCGTGTTTTCCCGAAAATAAGACACTGCCTTATATTTATTTTTTCTCAAGAATTCACACTAGGGCTTATACTACAAATGCACAGAAATCCTGGCTCTTCTCACAGTTTCATTTAGACAAGTTAACAGTGAAGCTAAGTAGCTGAAATCAGGACTGCAGCTATATGGCTCTTCAGGAGGCAGGAATCTGCAAGTGGACCCTTACTCAAAAGGGAGGCGAGAAACAGAAACAAAACTGAGATGAGAAAGATGGGCACACACCTTTAAAATGGAAAGCGGTGGCACACTGAGGATTTGGGCTAGAAGTTGGTCCAGATCTGAAGAAGAAGAGGAGGAAGAGGAGGAGGAAGAAGAGGAGTTTGGATTTATACCCCGCCCTTCACTACCCAAAGGTGTCTCAGAGCAGCTTACAAAGTCCTTTCCCTTCCCCTCCCCACAACAGACACCCTGTGAGGTAGGTGAGGCTGAGAGAGCTCTGACAGAAACGGCTCTTTTTCAAGGACAGCTCTTGTCAGAACTATGGCTTGCCCAAGGTCACACCAGCCAGGTGCAAGTGGAGGAGTGGGGAATCAAACCCGGCTCTCCCAGATTAGAGTCCACGCACTTAACCACTACGCCAAACTGGAATGTATGTGTTCCAATTTAATTACCATAGAGTAAAAATATAGCCCTGACCTGGATGGCCCAGAGGCTAGCCCAATCTCTTCAGCTCTCAGAAGCTAAGCAGGGTCAGCCCTGGTTAGTCCCTTGGATGGGAGACCACCAAGGAAGTCCAGGGTTGATACGCAGAGGCAGGCAATGAAAACTACTTCTGAATGTCTCTTGGCTTGAAAACCCTATACGCTTGCCACGTGGGCTGTAACTTGACCAGCCTCCCCCCCCCTAAAAAAAAAGGTTTCAGTTCCCTAAACCAAGAAGTTAAAATTAAGGGTATCTGGCAAATTGGCTTTTTAGAGCCAATGTTTTCCCACTCCATCTGAAGGAGTAAACTATAGTCCATGCAAGCTCAGGTTCAAGGTGTTGCTTTTGACCTTTGAGGCCCTCAGCGGTCAGGGACCTACATACCTTTGGGACCGCCTCTCTTAGTATGCACCGAGAAGAGCATTGTGCTCGGGAAGTAAGACCCACCTGCTGGTCCCCAGCCCGAGAGAGACCCAGCCGTCCTCAACCAGGGCCCAGGCTTTTTCGGCCCTGGCCCCTACCTGGCGGAACTCTCTGCCGGAGAACATCCGAGCCCTGCGGGATTTGTTACCATTCTGCAGGGCTTGTAAGACAGAGATGTTCCACCAGGCCTGTGGCCGACGGCAGCGACGGGACAGTACGCAGTCTGGTGCACTCATACCCTCCAATCCCCCCCCCCCCGTGAAATTTGAAATTTTTTTCCACCATCTTGG